GCAGTTACCTGAAATATCTCTGGAGGCTAGAGTGCCTCTACTGCAGCAGTTCCAACAACTAGTGGAGGTGCAAGAGTCTTTTAGAATCTATGTTGACATCGCAAACGGGAGTAAAGTTTCAGGAAATGCTGCTGTTGGTGGACAAGGATATCAGTATGCAGATCTGAAGGATATTCTTGAGACTTGGAGGCTGAGGACTCCAAATGAATGGGACAACATGACTAATTGGTATGATATGCTGCAGTGGAGGAATGAAATGTATAACATTGTCATTGATGCATTTAAGGACTTTATAACTTCAAATACTCAGCTTCATCACCTTGGTTATCGTGACAAAGCATGGAACGTTAATAAGCTTGCTAGGATAGCTCGGAAACAAGGGCTGTCTGATGTTTGTGTTCAGATACTTGACAAGATGTATGGACACTCGCAAATGGAAGTGCAGGTACAGTTCTGATGTCTTTAACCTTTTTATAATTTGGACGGAGTTCATTCAGTTGCATAATTTCTATAGAAGAACCGCTCAGCATTTAGTTTCTCATTATTTTTCGTTCTTGCCTTTTCATCTTTACCTAGTTTGTTAATTATTTTCCTGGTGGCATAGTTGTATATCATCCCATTAACTTTTGTGATATTTGAAGCATGTACGCATCCTTATCCTTTCCCGTGTTCTCTATAATCGGTTTCCTTTCGCTGCTTCTTTTAATCTGTTTTTTAAGGTGACTAAATCGCCTCATCCGTGTATGCAGGAAGCCTTTGTTAAAATTAAAGAGCAGGCAAAGGCCTATCTGGACACGAAAGGAGAGCTTGGTACTGGTCTTAATCTTGTTAATAGCACAAATTTGGAGTTCTTTCTAGCGAAGAATCAGGCAGAGATATTTCGTCTAAAGGGGGATTTTCATTTGAAATTAAATGACACTGATGGTGCCAATGTTGCATATTCCAATGCAATCAGCCTGTTCAAGAATTTATCCAAAGGATGGATTAGCTGGGGAAATTACTCCGACATGGTATTTCTTATGATTAGATGCTGTTTTTTTTTTCTCGGTCTGTTAATTTCCTCCCTCGTCTCGTATTAGATAATATATTTTACTTTCGTTTCGCAGGCATACCAAGAAACAAAAGATGAAATCTGGCTAGAATATGCTGTCAGCTGCTTTCTTCAGGGTATAAGATTTGGAGTTTCCCATTCCAGAAGTCACATGGCTCGTGTTCTCTATCTTCTCAGTTTCGATACGACAAATGAGCCTGCGGGTAGGATATTTGATAAACACTTGGACCAAGTACCTCACTGGGTGTGGCTTTCTTGGATCCCGCAGCTGTTGCTTTCCCTGCAGCGTACAGAAGCACCCCATTGCAAATTGGTTCTACTGAAAATTGCTGAATTATTCCCGCAGGTAAGTTCCTTTTAGTATATTGGATAACCTATTTTTTTTTTATCATTTCAATTGAGTATGAGACTGTTTCTCATCTCAGGCCCTCTATTACTGGCTCCGCACATACTTACTGGAGCGCCGTGATGCGGCAAATAAATCTGAACTTAGCAGAGTGATTATGGCTCAAAGAATGCAGCAGGGTGTTCCGGGTGTTAGTGTGGGTCATGGTGGGGCTAATTTATCATCAGAAACTCAAATCCATCAAGGTGCTCAAAGTAGTGGGGCTCTTGGAACACATGTCAATGGTAACCCACATTCCCAAGAAAATGAACTTTCCACTGTGGATAACAGTTCAACTATTAGTGAGAATAGTCAAAACGCAGCCATACGGAATAGTGCTTCGTTGGCAAGCTCTGCTGCTGGTGCTTTTGATGCGGCAAAGGATATCATGGAAGCTCTTAGGAGTAAACATACCAACTTGGCCAGTGAGCTTGAGGTAATATTTTGTTTGTGATTTCTGTAAATTCTCTCAATACAAATTTTCATCGTTAAGATTTACTAAAATGGGGAAAAAGGATAAGACAAAATACTGTCTGGCTCAAGTAGCTTTCATTCAGATTTGGACTCAATTGCACGTTCCCTGCTTTTTTACTTCAATAGTCTAATATATTTTATATTTTTTCTCTTAGAGTCTTCTCACAGAAATAGGTTCGAGGTTTGTTACTTTGCCAGAAGAAAGACTTCTTGCGGTCGTGAATGCTTTGTTGCATCGATGTTACAAATATCCAACTGCCACCAATGCCGAAGTTCCCCAACCGCTCAAGAAAGAACTCTCCGGTGTATGCAGAGCTTGCTTTTCGGCAGATGCGGTCACCAAGCATGCTGAATTTGTGAGAGAATACAAGCAGGATTTCGAGCAAGACCTGGATCCAGAAAGTAGTTCATTCCCTGCCACACTCGCAGATTTGACAATAAAACTGAAAGAGTGGAAACGCATTCTTCAGAGCAATGTTGAAGACAGGTTCCCCGCTGTGTTGAGATTGGAAGACGAGAGCAAGGTGCTACGTGACTTCAGTGTTGTTGATGTGGAGATACCAGGACAGTACTTCGCTGACCAGGTAAACTTGATTGTTATCCTCGTCTTGTGTTTACCTACAATGTTTACGTTCTCTAGAGTGGAAGTATATTAAATTATACAAGTTTCGTCCTTTCCTTGTATTTCCTTTCCCTTTGCGCTGTGAATGAAACTAATGATATGTTTAACGACCCAGGAAGTAGCGCCTGATCATACAGTAAAGTTGGATAGGGTTTCAGCAGACATACAAATTGTACGAAGGCATGGAAGCAGCTGCAGACGTTTGACTCTTATTGGCTCTGATGGCTCGCAAAAGCATTTCATTGTTCAGACATCATTGACTCCTAATGCGAGGAGTGATGAACGAATGGTACAGCTTTTTCGTGTGATGAACCAAATGTTTGATAAGCATAAGGAGTCAAGAAAGCGCCATTTGGGAATTCATACACCGATCATAATTCCTGTGTGGTCTCAGGTATGGCTCGAAAAATCAGCCTAGCTCCCCTTTAGTTCTTTTTTCATTCAATGAGTATATATGTGCGGTTCGTTTTATATGCTTTCTCCTTTTGGTTGTCCGTGATTATGAGTAAGTAAATCTCTCTTAGGCATGCTAACAATTGTAGTTTCAGGTACGAATGGTTGAGGATGATCCCATGTACAACACTTTCCTTGAGGTGTATGAGTATCACTGTGAAAGGAACGGTCGAGAGTCAGATCTTCCTATTACCTACTTCAAGGAGAAACTCAACCAAGCCATCTCAGGGCAAATATCACCAGAGGCCATTGGAGATCTTCGGCTACAGGCTTATGGTGAAATCACAAAGAACATAGTCAACGACACTATATTTTCTCAGTACATGTACAAGATATCGATGAGCGGAAACCATCTTTGGGCTTTCAAGAAGCAGCTCGCTGTCCAGCTAGCCGTCTCCAGTTTCATGTCTTTCATTCTACAAATCGGTGGAAGATCCCCAAACAAGATCTTATTCGCCAAAGACAGTGGAAAAATCTTTCAGACAGACTTTCATCCAGTTTATGACCCCAATGGAATGGTCGAGCTCAATGAGCCGGTGCCTTTCCGCCTCACAAGGAACATGCAGTCATTTTTCTCTCATTTTGGTGTTGAAGGCCCTCTCGTGTCAAACATGTGTTCCGCATCTCAGGCGGTTTTCTCCTCCAAGGTAAATAAGAGAATATTACCTAAAGCTTGAGTGATGCAAGCAAAAATGATGTGGCCTCTAACGTCTTCTTTCCTTTTTTGATATATTACAGCAAAAAGAACATATTCGATACCAGTTAGCCATGTTCTTCCGGGATGAGCTTCTGTCTTGGTTTGGAAGAAGGCCTCTAGGAATGCCTATTCCTTCTATTGTAGGAACTGCTACTTTGAGCTCAGCAGAGCTAAAGCACAAAGTTGACTCAAATGTAGACGATGTAATTAGTCGACTCAGAGGAATAGCTCCACAGTATTTCTCCGAAGAGGTACAATCATCAGTTGACAACTCCACCTAGTTTTGGATGCTACTAGCATTCTCATAAAACTCGAAAAGAGGAGATGAATCTGATATATTTCCGGGGTTTTGTTTTTCAGGATGAGAACTCCATGGAGCCGCCACAGTCTGTACAAAGAGGTGTGAATGAATTGGTGGAAGCAGCTTTGTCGCCTCGCAACCTATGTATGATGGATCCAACATGGCATCCTTGGTTCTAAGTTAACTTTGCTTTGGAGGAAACATTTTAACCATTTTGGGGTAGAATTTGGGTTTGAAGTGGTTAGGTTTGTAAATAGTTTAACTTTTTGTGCTAAAAAATCTTTAGGATTTTCTTTTCTGGATTCACATCTAATGTAAAAAACAATGGAAGTTCGTAAGCTTAAATGGTAATTGCATATTATCTTCATTCAAGAAAAAAAAATTGCATATTAGCACCAATTATCTAAAGAAAGGCGAACTGAAGAAGATGATCAGTACTAATATCTCCCAAATCATTTTTCGTGTACCACAAGCTTTTGAAGATATAGTTGTCTGACAATTCTATCTATAGCGAACTATCTTGAGATGATCCCTAGTCCAGTATTGGATGAGCTTGCAGTGGTTGTCAAATTTCCTTTCTTCTCTTTCCCAGAAACAACTTTACTAAGTCTTTGAATATAAAAGACATAAAGAGCAGATTGGGTCAATACTTTCTCACTCACTTGCTGATCTTAAGAAGAAGCATAGATTTTCAGCTCAAGCTCTAAACTATCATTAACTCTTTGTTCGGTTTTATATAGAGAGAGAGATACCAAAGATGAGTTGGTTTCATCTTCATCATGAGTAAATATAAAACCCGTTGATAATGTTGGTGGAAGCCGACGCGGCAAATCAATGACTACCATTTGAAAAAAAAAGGGGAGATTGATCCTCTACATCCACTTACAGTCAATAATCACGTGTACAATCTATCGACCGTAGATGTCACAGCGCTTGGTTTCTCAAATCTCAACCGTCCAATATCACAATACTCACTAAGGGGAGGATCTTTGTCGTAACTTTGATGGAAGAAGAAGGATGAAGATAGTGAGTTACAACGTGAATGGCCTTAGGCAACGAGTTTCTCAGTTCGATTCTCTCCTCAAACTCCTCGATTCCTTCGACGCCGATATCATCTGCTTCCAGGTTCTTACTTCAACCCCCAAACATTCGAATTTTAAATCGTTTCTCGTGTTCACTTCGGGATTCGAATGTAGGAAACGAAGCTTAGGAGGCAAGAATTGACATCGGATTTGACGATAGCTGAGGGATACGAATCGTTCTTCTCGTGCACTCGCACGTGCGAGAAAGGTCGTACTGGTTACTCTGGTACGCATCACACTCTCTGTCTTTAATTTAAAAAACAAATTTTAGTTTTTTTTTTTATGTTTGTTGAGTGATATTTGGCAGGTGTGGCGACTTTCTGCAGGGTAAAGTCAGCGTCTTTAAGCTGTGAAGTTGCTTTACCTGTTGCTGCTGAAGAAGGTATCACTGGTCTTGTTAACAGTAGCTTCTCGAGAGGTGGGAAGAATGAAAGTTCTGTTATAGCTGAAGGTCTTGAGGAGTATGAGAAAGATGAGCTTCTTAGGATTGATCAAGAGGGTCGTTGCGTTATAACTGATCACGGACATTTTGGTATCACTCTAACTTGATGTGTTTAGTTTCTTTAGGTGGAAATGAATGCTCCTTTTGTTAATTGTGTAAGTGTTTTGTTAGTTGTTTTTAATGTCTATGGACCGCGAGCTGTAGCTGATGATGCTGAGAGGATTGAGTTTAAGCATCGGTTCTATGATGTTTTAGAGGTTAGTCTTATCGGTTTCTGAATGTAGTTATCTCGAACTTTTTGGGTTAATTGTTTGTTAGCTTTATTGTAGAGAAGGTGGGAGTGTCTTCTGCGTCAAGGAAGAAGGGTATTTGTTGTTGGGGATCTCAACATTGCTCCTTTTGCTATGGATCGGTGTGAAGCTGGTCCTGACTTCGAGAAAAACGAGTATGTATATACTGCTACTCATCATCTTGCTTTACTCAAGACATATCAAATCTTTTCATTTTCGTGGCAATTAAAAAAATGCAGGTTCAGAAAATGGTTTAGATCTCTACTAGTTGAACGTGGAGGCTCCTTCTCTGACGTTTTCAGATCTAAACATCCTGAAAGGTGCCTTATAACATCTTCTCTGTCGGTTTAAAGAGCCATCCATATTCAGCTTGTCTGTTCATCATTGATTGCTTCTTCTGTATTTATAACAGGAAGGATGCATTCACATGTTGGTCTTCAAGTAGTGGAGCAGAACAATTTAATTTCGGTTCGAGAATTGATCATATCTTAGTTGCTGGATCATGCTTACATGAAGAAGGAGATCAGCACGGCCATAATTTTATAGCTTGCCATGTTAAGGAGTGTGACATATTAACAGAGTATAAGCGGTTTAAAAATGAAAACATGCCAACAAGGTAAATGTATATATAGTTTAATCATGATCTCACTTTTACTTTGATCTCAAATTAGTCTGTGAACAACACTACAGGTGGAAAGGTGGATTGGGTGTCAAATTAAAGGGATCAGACCATGTACCTGTCTTCACAAGTTTTGATGATTTGCCTGACATCCCCCAACACAGCACACCTCCTTTAGCTTCAAGATATCTTCCCATGATTTACGGTTTCCAGCAAACTCTTGGTACGAGAAACTATTGTTTATTCATTCCTCTGTGATGGGTTGATGAAAGTGATCAACTTATTTCTGTCCCTGTAACAGCGTCAGTGTTAATGAAAAGGCAAGCCAACGAGCAAGCCAAAGCCATTGAGGTTTCATGTTCATCATCCAGTCAAAGTAACGCTACACCAAGTTGTGTAGAGATCTCTACTGGACCACTCAGAAACTGCAGTTCGACGGGTATCTCACCTGAGGAAACATCTGGAGGCTCCAGTAATAACCTTAGTGATAGAATGTGTGTGTCATCTGTGAGAGCTGAGAATATCTCTAGAGATGGAAACAAGAAAAAAGTGAGGAGGATCCAATCTTCTCAGCTTTCTCTCAAGTCCTTTTTCACTTCTAAATCTGCTTCATGTGTTTCATCAAGTCAGAGTTCCCAAGTCGAGAGCATCACAGAACCAACTGTTTCCAGCAAAGTAGAGGATGAACTGACTAGTACGTCATCACAGGAACAAGATCAAAGCGGTTCGTCGGCCAAACAAAAGAACGATGCAGCATTAGTGGAGTGGCAAAGAATACAGAACCTAATGCAAAACAGCATACCTCTCTGCAAAGGACACAAAGAAGCTTGTGTCGCTCGTGTTGTAAAGAAACCAGGTCCCACATTTGGACGCAGATTCTACGTCTGCTCTCGAGCTGAGGTAAAAACATCAAAAGCAAACCAAAAGTTGATTTTATAAAAAGTGAAAGCAATACCCTGATATCTCTATCCATGCCTTTGCAGGGACCTTCCTCTAATCCAGAAGCAAACTGTGGTTATTTCAAATGGGCTTCTTCCAAATTCCGAGACAAGTAGTATTCAGGAACGAGGGATTTAATTTAGTGAGCTCAGGTACACTGTAGAACCTCGACAATGTCGGTATATAGTTAATGTTTGTCTCTCGAGTCCTTGACCAATGTGTTGACTTGCTGCTCGATTTGGCTTCTTTCAACGTTCAATGTATAAACTAACGTTTGGCATAAATGCTAATTATAATGTATTAATGTTAATTGACATGATGGATACGTATACGTATGTGTCATGGAATGATAATTATTAAATTGGACGCTGACGAGAAAGCACAGAAATGCTTATGTAATGCAATGTGTCACCCACGAATTTTGTGGTGCATCACTTGGGATTTGTTTATTCAGTTTTGATTATACAAGTAAAATTGTATGTGTTGCTTGCCTTCTGAAGACATGAAAAGTCTTGAATAACTCTATTTTTACTTTTGATCAATTTCTTAAGTCCGAAATCTGTTTTTTTTTTCTATCTTTCCTTTGAACGTATTTGTCAATGTCTTTCACATTTAAGGTTAGCGATGAAAAGGTGAAGATTAGATTAGTATGATCCACAATATTTGGATAAGTTATATCTGAAAACAATTGAATCGACCGGCACTAACCACACACCAATCGGCTTTTGATAGCAGTTATTTTTGTTGTTGTGATCAAACACGTGGTTGGAGAAGAAAGTGTAGACTATATATGATTGCCAATAGTTTGCTTTAAGACAACTCACTCGGTCACAATCTTCTAGAACCGAAGTATGGTCTATTACTAGTATCTACGTGATCGACTTGCTTAAGGGGAAGATCAGTCTGAACTGGATTGTAATGGGAGGAACGATGAGCTCTTTTCATAGTTGGTCCCGTTTAGGACATATCAACGTAATGGTTTTGACAAGAGCATAAATGTTGTGAGGTTTATCTTTGAAACTGTCAATTTGAAAACATTTATTTTTGGATAATCTCTAAGTGATGGATTTACTGAAACTTCCACGTCAAAAAGGGTTGTTCATTCAAAAAAGTTACCATGCATACGGTTAAAAGTCAAATTTCAAAAGCTTATAAAAGTTTTTTAAAAAGTCAAATTCAACGAGTGACACAAAAATGTGGTTCATATTCTCCATCCCGTGATTCCGGTTCTTTTGAATTACCCTCATCTTCTTCCAAAAGAATACACTCAATAGAAAATAAAAAAATTTAGACGAATTATAAATTCTAGATTTCCGTTTCTGTAAGAAAAAAAAAATCACAAAGATTTTAAATAGTGTTTGTGTGGTGTGAGGCAGTCCTTAAAATTAAATACATAGTAGTAGAGACTTTTCATCTCTTCTAAAAATCTTTTTTTTTTTGGGACACTACTCTCTTCTAAAAATCTATTTCTGGTTTCTCAGTATCCAACAAATAATGAACGGTCCAAAAACGTCTCCATGCAAGTATCTAATAAATAATAATAATGGTGAACATAAGAAAAATAAATATATATCCTCTGTATGAAGAATCTAATTTCTAATTTTCATCAAAAAACTTTAAGTTGATATATTTAAATTAAAATAAATAACTAGCTTGATTTATATTTTCGTGTAATTATTTCTTTATTTTTCTGGTTTTAAAAAACAAAGTTTTCACTTTGATTTAATTTGTTTTAATATGTGACAATTACAGCCACAGCACAATGTGGCCACTATGAAAAAAATCTTACGTACATTCTTATCTCTACTGCAATAATTTCCAACTGGATAAGCTCCTTCAGCTGACTCAGCTCCACAGGATCCGACCCGATTTCAGGCTGCTTAAACCGACCCGCCTTTTTAATCAAACTTTTAAAGTCTTTTAAGTCTCCTAACCTTATTTTAGTATGTAATTTAAAACTAATTAAGTACTAATCAAGCAATTAACGACTAATCGCATATTCCCCTATAAATAAATCTCTCCCTTCCTTTCCCTCTCTCAAACCAAAGCAGAAAAAATCAATCAGAACTCCACAAACGACATCGTTTAACAGCAAAATGCTTTCTTCTTCTCCAACTTCCTTCGCTCATCCCTTCCTCTCCTCTTCTCCGCCTCTCTCCCCCGTATCTCCTCCATCTCGCGCGGCTCGTCTCCCGCCTCCTCCCGTCTCCGCCTCTTGCTCCTACACCTACACGGAGGATTCGATTAGACTGCATCAGATCCCGCTGCGATTAACGACGGCGAACGCTTCTCTCTACGAGATTCTCGAAGTTCCTCTCGGCGCGACGAGTCAAGATATCAAATCGGCTTACCGGAGACTGGCCAGGATCTGTCATCCAGACGTGGCGGGAACCGATCGGACTAATTCTTCTTCGGCGGATGAATTCATGAAGATCCACGCGGCTTACTGTACGCTTTCCGATCCTGAGAAACGATCTGTCTACGATCGGAGGATGCTTCGTCGGAGCCGTCCTTTGACCGTTAACTCGGGGATGAGCAGTTACGTTGGCCGTAACTGGGAAACTGATCAGTGCTGGTAGCGAGTTGACTCGGTGTCCGAGTTAGCCCGCGTTGATTCGAATTAAGTAAAAAAAAAAAGATATGAATCAGTTTGTATAAAATAGGAAGCGCGATAAATATGGACTCTGGAGCTTAACGTTCTAATTAATAGTAGTCATTAAGCTAACACGGAGGAGGATTATATCTTATGCGGTGCCGTTTGGTTTGTGTTACGTAGGATCTACGTGTGTTTTTACTACTTTCAGTTTCTTTTGATTATCTAGAGCTGATTTGTTTAACATATGTAGTTCGAATATACCTATTTTCGGTCCAATAAACAAATCTAACTAATATGAATATTCTCTTTTTTTTTTACTTAAATATGTAAATATTTTGGCTTCGTTTTCGAAATTTGGAATCTCGACGAAAGCATCCAAATGACAAAAATAATTGTCAGGATATTATATTAGCTGGCCCACAAACCGACTGATGTTCTAGAAGACTAGAACGTGTGAATCCAATGAGAGATTGAGAGCCATACATAACGATCACTTCTTCGATCCAAAGAAAAAAACATATCACTTCTATTTCTATAGTTCTCTCAAGTAGGAAGTTGATAGATTCTGAGTTTAATGAATGTGGATTTGGAACTGATTTTATCAAAACAATGGTGGGCATATATATGCGTGTGTTGTCAACTTGTCATTATAGTCGAATACATTTCCATAAGTGTTTTTCGAGTCATGTTTTATCATTTTAAAACCATTATAATATGTAATATTACCACAATATTATCTGTTTGCGTGTACAAAGCCGTGTGATCACCGACATAAAATACTGAAATCAAAATTGGGATAGACGAGATATAAGCTAGTTTTGTCTACACGGTATTACCACGCTGATTGGTGGTGCGATTAATATCATTCTACTGAGTGATATGCTCAAACTGGTTTCTTGAACTACTGTTAGAGGAAGAATAATCTGAACGATCGACATGGTGAGATGGGACATAAGCCGAAGCATAGGTTTCTTAAGTTAAGTTCAAAAAAAAAGTTACTTAAGTTGACTCAAATTATTTTGCATGACTTTTTGATAAATAAGTAATAACCATTGTAGGTTGACAAAAAAAAAGTAATAAACATTGTTACATCAGCATCATCATTAGGTTTGTTGGGGCCTAGAGGCGACAAAAGTACGGGCCCTCAGGGTTGTGGAAACTGGAAAAGTAACTCATGTTGCTAAGTGGTTAGATCGTATTTTTATCCTAATTTGTCGGGACTTAATAGTATATGATATATCCTTCTAGAAGCTAAACTATAGTGTGTCATTAGTTTGTTGCTACTGCTGATAGAATTTGATTCAGCGTCTTTTATGTATAAATGTTTTCGACGTTTAACTGAAAGACGTGCTCCAATGTATTATACATAAAAGACGCTGAATCAAATTCTATCAGCAGTAGTAACAAACTAATGACACACTATAGTTTAGCTTCTAGAAGGATATATCATAATTATAGGTAACATAGTCACGAGTGTTGTAAACTAGTAATATCTGTTATACAGCTAAAATGAAGTGATGAGTACATTATTTCATAAAATTTATCCAAATCAAATTGATGAAGTTTTATTTTTGCTTGTCAAATAACTTGAAGCCTTTAAATAAAGAAAAAAACTTTAGGGGCCCAATACAACCTATTGAGTCACATGAGACTTTAACAAACACACCCATATATATAAACCAAACTAAATCCATATTAGGCCCATATAAGCGAAACTCTTGGGCCCAATTAATAATTCAACTACAGGCCCTAATCTCATCAAATCATTAAGCATAGAAAGGTTAGTTTACAAACAAAGGGTCACGATTAAGAGCTAAAGTGGACGCGTGCACACCCGATAACTAACACCCTTAGAGTAATTAGGGTTTCCTCTCGAACTAACTTTTTTTTTTTTTAATAGTCGGCTCTCTAAACAGTCTCACCTCTCTATATATATACAAAACACGCCGACGAATCTAACATCTCACAAACCCTAATTACCCAATCCAATGGCGCAAGAGAATCAATCCGCGGCGAGATTCACCGGGAAGGTGAATTGGTTCAACGATTCCAAGGGATACGGATTCATCACCCCCGACGATGAAGGCGACGAGCTTTTCGTCCACCAATCCTCCATCGTCTCCGAAGGCTACAGGAGTCTCGCCATCGGCGATTTGGTCGAGTTCGAAATCACTCAGGGAACCGACGGGAAGACCAAAGCCGTCGATGTAACCGCCCCCGGCGGCGCTCCTTTGAAGAAGAAGGAGACTAGCTCCCGCGGGAGGAGCGGTCGCGGCGGCGGCGGTTGTTACAATTGCGGCGAGGCTGGTCATCTGGCGAAGGATTGCACTGACGGCGGCGAAAGAGGAGCGTGTTACACGTGTGGTGATACTAGTCACTTGGCTAGGGATTGTGTTAAGAAACCTATTGGTGGTGAGCGTGGAGGAGGAGTAGCGCGTGGAGGAGGAGGAGCGCGTGGAGATGGTTGTTACAATTGTGGTGACAGTGGCCACTTGGCTAGGGATTGTGTTAAGAAGTCTGTTGGTGGTGAACGTGTAAGTGGAGGAGGAGGACGTGGAGATGAGTGCTACACGTGTGGTGGATTTGGTCACATGTCTAGGGAGTGTCCGAGTAAGAGACAGGCACGTGGAGGTTGTTACGAGTGTGGTGGTGCTCACTTGGCGAGGGATTGTGAGCAGAGAGGAAGTGGTGGAGGAGGAGGAGGGAGAAGCTCTGGTGGTTGTTACGAGTGTGGTGGGGCTCACTTGGCGAGAGATTGTGACAAGAGAGGTGGAGGTGGTGGAGGGAGAAGCGGTGGTGGTGGAAGGGAGTGTTACAAGTGTGGTGAAGGTGGCCACATTGCAAGGGAGTGTTCTGTTGCTTGATAACTTCCCTAATCAACAAAGAAAGAGGATGGAGATGAATTTGAGTAATATATTATATTTCTCTTCGTTTTCATTTTTTATCTTTTGCTGATGGGAATGATGAATTTGCCTGGTCCTTTTTTTGTGTTTGTTTTTGAGTTTTTAAGTACTACTATTATTATACAATCTTAAGCTAGATTTGGTTTCTGATATGGATGGATGTTGTCCTTTTTGATCTGAATTTGCTTATGTCACCTATGAGTTTCGTTATTTGTCCTTTTTGTTTCAGTTTATTTGCTTTCTTTGTACGGGATGAACTGAAAGTGAAATCCAAGTTTGGTTTGGTCGCCTTTTCAAATTCATGTCCCACACAATCTAATTATCATTGTTTAGCTTACACTCATTCATATGTAAAATTAATCTTCAGTCAGCCGAGTTGTGCTGAAATCGTTGGAAGATTGGATTAAATAAACCAAAACTCTACTCATCAATTCACGTTTTATAAGTCATTTTACTGAAGTGTCCAGAGCCATGCCAATCGTTGGAAGATTGGATCAAATAAACCAAAACTCTACTCATCAGTTCACGTTTTTATAAGTCATTTACTGAAGTGTCCAGAGCCATGTCTTCATAGAATAATAACGGTTTTGGATCAAATGTTGATAGATTTCATAAAACGGAAACCATCCGACTTGACATGAAATTCAAATAGACTTATGCAACACTTTTCTAGTCCATCACTTGTTTATAATCAACACGACTCTACTCATCAACACTTTTCCAGTCCATCACTTGTGCTTTAGATGCTACAAGTTGTAGGTTCATCTAAAGCACAGATTTCATAAACGTCAACGTAAGTGCGGACGCAAACAACAATCGATGCCATAATTAATTAGCCGGTTAATTGTGCTTGGATTGTGGAGAAGATCATATCGAGTTCTCAGGAATTTTATGAATATGTATAGTAAGAAACACACATGACACCTAACCCAAGCTGTTGAACTATTTGTTAGACTTATATAAGCATAAATAGCTTGTAGCAGTGAAAGAAGCATGAACCAACCAAGTTGATATCTGCACATCACACAACTAAAGCTTCGAATGTCGTTGACCCAACATCTTCTCATTTCTTTTAAAACCAATCTTACAAAATTCCTATCCATCGTTAGCCACTGTCTTTTTCCCATATTGATTCCAAACAAAATAATAATTTGTATTCCTCTCCTGAACCTTTTCTTCTATAGAGAATTCCAGTTTTGTATACTATTAACTGTGAAAAAGACACGCAATATAAAAAAAAACATCATATATTTTGGACGTTTGTAATTACTCATAATAATTTATTAACAGTGACATAGCACAGCTTGGGTGGATAGTGGATAGTAGATAGATACTCTTCAGACCGTGTCCCTTGGAAGAGAGAAGAGGGCGGAAGAATCTAAAGGATGCATTATCACACACTACTTCTCTTCACCGCCTCTTACGTTCAGAACATTTTATATTTGGATACTATTGAATTTAAAGAAAAACTTTTTCTTATAAACATTTTCGTAACCGGAAAATTATTCACCGGCGTCATATAACGATGTCCTGCTCATTTATACGTAAGGTGGAAAGTCTAGTGATGGGAAAACTACCAAACAAATAAAGTTAGGGGGCTATGCTATGCTCCATCACAATAAAAAAGAATTATATTAACAAATCAAAAGGGACAAGCTCTACGTAGATCACCGACATCAATAAGACTGATCAGAGCCATATGCAACCCATATTGGCATATTGCACGAATCATACAAATAAAAAATTACAAACATAGTATAATAAATGTTTCCTGTGATTTAAAGTAGAATTTCCTACATATTTTTTATGTATAAGATAATACCAATAACGTGAACATGTACGGCACATTGGCCGACTATCATAGACAAAGGGGGCATGGACTCACGTGAAAGCCGACCTTTCTTAAAAAAATATCTTAAGCCCTCTAAAAAGATCCAATCCCCACAACCAATCTTTCTCCTTTTTTTTTGTCACTATACGTTCTAAATTCTCTTCCCCATAATATATAAACACAAGAGCTACTCATTCACACTCTTGAAACACCTCTCACCAGAGCAGAACACAGAGTCACCAGAACACAAACACAAAAAGTTGATATATTTAGATTCTGGTGACGCTCTGCTCTAATGGGTCACTCTCAAAATTCTCTCTTTCTTTCTCTAATTCTTGTTCTAGTCTATGGCGTTTCCTCCACCACTTTCACCGTCGTTAACCAGTGCAGCTACACCGTCTGGCCTGGTCTTCTCTCCGGCGCGGGAACCGCTCCTCTACCCACAACCGGATTCTCTCTAAACCCGACAGAAACACGCGTCATACCAATCCCCGCCGCTTGGTCCGGCCGTATATGGGGCCGTACTCTCTGCACACAAGACGCAACCACCGGTAAATTCACTTGCGTCACCGGCGACTGCGGCTCCTCCGCCGTGGAATGCTCCGGCTCCGGAGCCACACCACCAGCGACGCTTGCCGAGTTCACCTTAAACGGAGCCGGCGGTCTCGATTTCTACGACGTCAGCCTCGTCGACGGCTACAACATCCCTATGACGATCGTACCACAAGGCGGCGGAGATGCGAGCGGCGTCGCCGGGAACTGCACCATCACTGGCTGCGTTACGGAGCTCAACGGCCCTTGCCCTGCTCAGCTGAAAGTGGCGACGACGACGACGGGGACTGGTGGAGTGGCTTGCAAAAGCGCTTGCGAGGCGTTTGGGACGCCGGAGTATTGCTGTAGCGGCGCGTTTGGAACGCCGGACACGTGTAAGCCGAGCGAGTACTCTTTGTTTTTCAAAAACGCGTGTCCGAGAGCTTATAGTTATGCTTACGACGACGGAACTAGTACGTTTACTTGCGCCGGAGCTGATTACCTCATCACTTTCTGTCCTAATCCTAACCCAAGGTAATATATATTTCATTATTATTATTTTTTTTGTTAAAAATATATTTCATTATTTACTACAAGTAAATAAAATTACTACAAAATTATATGAGTATCTTCAAGTGGAAACACGAATAAGAATATTTGAAAAACAAGTTGGTATTTTTGATAAGTATAAGGTTTTGTTCAATTCAATTTTTTTTAAGTAGAAAGTTTGGTTCAGATTCCGTTTGAAAAGTTACGGTTTCGTTTTTTATAACATTTAGATATTCTAACAACTTTTAAAATTTCGGAAAAATAATTCACTTTTCTAACGTTTTGAAGAAAGGTGAGGTCAAATCACCGTATAAGAATCATGAGACGTGTCTGTCATAATGCACCGTGTGATTTTGTCAATTTGTGAAATGATGAGACAAGACGACATTATCATTTTTCACCCGTTGCAATAATGATACCAACATAATAAATAAATAAAACAAAAAAAAATATAAAATATCTAATGTTCTCTGTTGTATCCATAAATTTTTTTTTTCATTCATTCAAACGTCGGTGAACTGTGCCCGCCCATGTGTGGTCCGACACGGCTCTTTTGTTCATATCGCAAAATAGATTTTTATATAAAATAATAATTTTGTATTTTTGTAATTTGTCTCAGTGTGAAGAGTGCAACCAAGGGAGGAGTACTTGAGCCCGAAGCCGTAAGCTACTCCGCCGCACCGCCAAACGCGTCGCCGACTCTCTCTACCGTGTTTTCGGTTGGTGTCTTAGCTGTCACGTTTTGGGCACTACAACGCGTTTGGTGATAGCTGTAAATTGTAATGTATGCGTTAGAGCTTTGACAACAACATCACTCGAGGTTTTCATCTAAGAGAAAGAAAAGATCATCATCTTAAAAGAGGATCAGAAGAAAGAGTTGATTTGTGTGGGATTCTAAAGTGCTAAGGATGGATTTGTTTTGGCTGATTAGTATTAGTAATAGTAATAGTAATAGTAATAGTAATAGTAATAGTAATAGTAATAGTAATAGTAATAGTAATAGTAATTCCTTAGAACTCTTATTAGTTTTCTTTGGTATTTTTAAGACAACGTGTTGTCTTTACGGATTACGGTGTCTCTAGTGTAGACGCTGTCTGAAAATGTAAGTTGAATAATCATGCAAATTTGGCGGGTAATAACAGTCTTTCAAAAAGTTACTATATTTGTTTATTAATCGAGCTTTCACAAATCACAATCGAATTTCCACTTTAGATTATAAAACACAAAGTAGTACCAGTTGTAGATGAAGAACAAGTTTCTCTATTTTCTTCATTTTAAGTTTTCTCTCATTCACTCTTATTCTTGAGTAACGGTCAATTAATGCCACAAATACTTACACCATCACTTCCTGTCCCAATTTGTCCAGGTGTGGAACATTAAATTAACACAGTTGACAAAGTAAAGAGTTTTGGTTTATAACTATCAAAGCTTTGACTTATATATGCTGCGTGAACACAGTTTAAAGTCTTAGAGAGAACCACCTCACGAAGAGACAGGAGATGTATCTAGCTCTGAAACTGATTTTCTGTGTGATCAGCTTGTAGCTTTATTTACTGCTAAAAAGGACACAACAACATAGAAACAAGTAGAAACAGAGAGAGGAGGCAAAAAAAAAAAAACTAGAATGAAGAAAGCTTTATGTAGCTCATCAATGGGAGTACACACTTGATCTAGAATCTTTAGCTTTGTATTATATTATATTGTTCTATATATTCCCTTTAGATCAACGAACGGCTTTGACTAACTTGTGGTGAGGACCTCTCTATAATTGAAAAAGAAAGATAAGAGCATCTTGAAGAGAGTCAAAAAGATTTCAACTTTCCAAATCCACCAACTTAATAGTATTATATCCACTAAAGCAAATTAACACAAAATGTTAAACAAAGCTTGAAAAGATTGGGTTATACCTGCGTTGATTCGCCGTCCATAGACGCAAAGATGAAACAGTCTTGACTATTTATGATAATTAGTAATTTGAATAAGTAAAGGGTAACAGTGGTTCTTGTCATAGTTAGGCCAAGATTCGTCTCCTTTCACAAGCGTCTCATGACGCTTCCAAACTTCTCCATCATATTTTTCGGTTAAGACATAGTGTAAACCAGTGTCTTCAATCTCCTTCAGGAACTTATCTAAAGAATCACCTCTCTTAGGACTAAAGAATAAAGCTTCAGAGGGTTCATTGGCTTTGAGCAGCACCTTGATGATACTTGCAAGATCTTTATGAAACTCCTTGAAAAAAGTACTGTTGAATAAAAAAAAAAGTCGACAAGGGATGAGAAACATATATATTGATATAGCGGAAGACTGAAAAAGAGAGAGGAAGCTACCAGTCGCTTGCAACTATGATGTCAAAACTGTTGGTTAGCTCTGAAAGTTGATGCTGGTTCCAGTGAAACTCCATGGCTTTTACGCTTGTGTTGCTAAATGCCATGGAGTTGGACTCTATGTTACGTTTAATATCTGGATGTTAAGTACAACAGTAAATCCAAGAAGACAACTCTAAGGAAACAGTATACAAAATAATAATAACAATAAAGGAAGGATACAATTGACTACTTGGGGATTTCCATCTGAGATCACCACTTCTGATGCCTCGGTGGCAGCAGCAATAACTAAACCGGCTAATCCATACCCTGATCCAAGCTCAATGACTCTTTTACCTCTGCATCATCCCAACGATCCAAGTAAAAATGTAAGGAGAAGAAGTTATGAGAACACAATCTTAAAACTGAAGTCAGAAACCTGAAGCGATCAGGCTGAGACATGCAGAAGTATGCTAGAACTTCTTCTGAAGGCCACTGACCTATAAGAATGACAGTAACTTAATTCAATGTGCATCTGAGACCTCCAAGCAACTCAATGTGATTGATATGATGATCCAAATCGTAATTCGTAACTAAAATCTAACACAGTAAATAGAACAAGCAGAGACATTATTCATAAGTTTCTACCTAATCAAACTATGATTAAAATGAAAAACTCTCAAGTAAATGTGAGCATAATACCACAAAGAGAGAACCAGAGAGGTACACTGGGGGATGAAGAACTTACAGACAAGTCCTGTATTATCAATGTTGTGTCGATTAGATATCTCAAAGTCATTGAGATCACTGCAATTATCCACTCTTTGTCTGCACAAAATTTATACAAAAATCTTTATTTAGGAGTGGCAAATCTAAAGAAGATTGTTTTCATTCGATCGAAACTTTTAAGTACTAACGTTAGATAGAGTTTGGGAGAAGCAGGAATGGGAATTGTGTAGCAAACGCATGCTTCCCGAGTGTTTTCAGAAGAATCAACCACATGAAAAGGAATCAAGTTGAATCCTTGAGTTGCTTTCCTTGAAACCCGCTTGATCTCATCTTGAGACTGAGAATCTGATTTAAAAAAAAAAAATTGAGAGATGATTCGTTAGCTATGAGGACGTGAGATCAAGAAGTAGATGATGGAAGGGAGAGTCATTCACCAGATCTATTGATAAGAGCTTGGCGAAGGATTCTCCATCTAAGAGATGATGATGATGATGCTGAAGAGGATTGATCCATGGCAGAAGAATCGTTTTCGCTTCCTCCGCCGGCAATTTTCTTACAGAACTAAACAGCAAACAAGGGGACAACTTGTGTTCAAAAAAAAAAAAAAAAAAAAAAAACAAGGGGACAACTGTTTCTCTCCGGAGTCCGTTAAGTGTTTCACACGCTCTGCCGTTTTATACACCCGTCGATTTCTAAGGTAAGTAAAACAGCATGGTGTTTAGATTTTTATTTCATCGCCGACAAGTTTGTCCTTCCTCCTTACAAAAGACATTTAAACAAGCGAGCTCTGATCAAACATAGCTAGGGAGAAGTAGGTCACTCATCGTCGCTGTCTTTAAGCAGAAGAAGATCAGAGAGAAGGAACGCGAAACAGAGAAATCCACTCTTTCTTCACCATGAAAGATGATTACGAGGTGCGACTTTGATCGGATATTTCAAAATTCAGATTGGATTCGATTTCAGATTATTAAAAGCTGCGTCTTTTAATCTGCGTCATGAAATTCGATTCATTAGTTTATTAAATTTGAGCTATAGTTTCCTCTTTTTGCCTATTTGATCCTCTCTGTACATCAAAACCTGAGCTTTAGGATTGTTAGATTGCAAAGTTCTTTGAGCTTTTAGTTAATCGTTTATTGAGATGATGAAGCCTTTCTTGTTACATAGGTTGATGAGAAGAAACAAGCAGCAGCAGATGTATTGTTTAGTTATTCCAAGTTTGCTATGGCCTGCATCGGCAATCAGACTCGTCCTTCCGACATGAGGATGCATCTCATGAAGGTATATAAGTTAAATTCACCCATTTAGTTTGTTTGCCTCCTATTAGTATGAACAAGCTTTTTGGTTTATATGAAATTGATTCTTGATTTTATATAGGAGATCTCGGGAATGCCAACGTCTTTGAAAAGAAGAGAAGCTTCAAGAGCTGCAACTTCTCCTGATCCACTCGGCGAATCTTCCAGCTCTGGTACCGCCAGGCTTGATAAAGTTGATAGTTTCAGAGCTCTTTGATTCTTTTAAGTTTTTTTTTTTTTTTAATAATCTCCACCATAGATAATGTTAGAGTGTTATGCTGTAATGTATTCCACCCATTGTTGTGTGACTCTGAGAAATAAATGTTATGCTTCTACTTTGAAATATTATCCTGTCCACCTTAGATATTAGCCATATCATTCATCTATCTCCCATTCTTGAATATAGTATAAGTGTGGAGTTTCTATGTTATTCCCGAGCATACATGATGGGGGTTTTAAACTTTGTTATGGAGAGATTATGAGTCATCATCGACTCTGGAAGGTTAAACTTTGTTTTTTTGATGTGGTGAAAGTATTCACTAAGTGCCATGTGTGTGTCTGAGAGAGATAGAGAGAGAGAGTTCACATGCTGCTATGTTAAATGCTAGTAATGTTAGGAGGCTGTATGATTGAAACAACGTTCATAATTTTGGAGCAACTCCAAAGGAATGAAGCTTGAGAAGGAGTGTGAAGGTAAACAACATCTCATGAATCATTTTTATTTATTGCATTTCATTCAGTTGACATTTTTAACTTTTTTTCTATTAGCCTTTTTTTATCGCATCTGTGAAACCTCCTCATTTACCTCTTCTGTTTGCTTCGTAGCAAATGGTAAAGAGCACAACAGCTGCAGCAACAGCGATTCCAACTGCTTGCTGCGTCACTGTTGCAGGAGCTTTTCTTGGCGGATTGAATCCTAGCTCTGAGAGTTTCTTGTGTGAAATTGCGTAATCTCTGAAGAACACATCCTCGTCCTGACATTTATACTCATCATCATCATTATACATTTATTTTGTTGGTGAAACCAAACAATCATTCAAACTAAAATCTGATCTACCTTGGCATACAGCTTCACATAAGGTTCGAACTTGGGGTCACTTAGTAAAGCCTTGTCAGTTTTAAGTTGCAGGAGTTCTGGAGTTTCCCCTTTTAGAAGCTCTCTGAAACAACAATGCATTAGACAATGTAAGTTTTCAGAACATTTCTTTCTCGCTCTAACTTTGTGTGATTTTGTGTTGTTGGCCTACACGAAATACGAGTTATCAAACTTTAGAGGATCTCTTGTCCAAGGACCTTCGAAATCTGACCTCTCCTTATGTGCACGCCCCTATATACAGAAAGCAGAAAACCCAAGTTGGTTCATTGGAGCATGTTTACTGACCATACATATATTTAAAAAGGAGAGTTGGTAACTTAAAGTACCAAAGTATGGCCCCCAGAGAGAGCTACAATGTCTTTATCCGATAGACCCATACGTGAGAAGAGAGTTCTTAGATGTGAGGCACCTTGATTCGCATCTGGAAGTTCTCCTTCATCTGGAGACCCAGCATCCTGAATATCAAATGTTTCTATTAAGATATGATTCCAACGCTTTATCTCTTTAGAGGATAAGAGTGTAAGTGTTACCTTACGGCCTGGAGTAAAATGGATTGCAGGGCCACCTGTAACTTCCACGGCAACAACTCCTGCGAGCTGATAGAGGTCTGCGTAAGAGACTCCTGGATGCTTTACTTTTACTTCCTCTGAAAACCAGAAACCAAAGTTCATTATACATCAAAAAAGAAACAGCCAAACCAAAGATGAAGATAAAAGGCGCTATGAGAACTGACCGCAGAAGGCGACTGCTTTCTCGAGACCTTTGTTATGGGGGCGGTTTAGCTCTTCCTTGAACCTGATGGAGCCATTGGGACCTCCAGTTTTCTTCTGGACATCATATGTTCCCGCGTCATGCCATCTAAAATGCAGATTTTGTGTTTGGAAACATTTAAATATAAAGAAAGACAAATGGAGAAATAATAATTGATTAGAGAGAGAGAGAGGATTACGCAAGACGGAGCATAATAGGAGCACAGTTTCTTGAAGAGATGAGAGCTCGAAGGTCTCTACGAGTCTTCTCTATCTCTTTGAGGTACTCTGCATCGACATTCACTGCCATTTGTCAGACTTTGAAAGAGCAAACACAAAAGGAAGGAAGAAGTGGGTTAAAGAATGACTCTGAGCGAGGAACAAGATTGATCAATATTTATATAGTAAGATTGAAGAAAGAGGCTATGGGAGAAGAATGTTTAGTCAGCTGGAGAAAGTAAAGTATGTTTTGGGATCAACCCTTCTGCTAATCTTCGCATATGTTCCTTCTTTCATTTATGCAGATATCTACGTATGTGTATGTTAACATAATTATGTATTTTATTCTATTTGTTTATAAATATCGTATAAACAGATAAGATCACGATACAGATTAGGCGTTTGAGTAGACTCTATGAGGTTTTTTTGGCTGGGTAAAGTGTTTGTGTTTGGGTCTTTTGGACTATTGGGCTTAAGCTTCCGGTCCTAATTGAAAAATGGGCTTTTTATTTTTTTGCAATATAAGGAAAAAGAATAAAGAAAAAAAGGAGGCAAAAGAATCGGGATGAGAGGGATTAGTCTTTTCTATTAACGAACGCTTCAATGGCAATTATTTGCGGGAGCCATCACTTTCTACTCTGTCCCTTTCTCTCTCTCTCGATCCAGTTCATCGTCCTCACGTTTTGTTAACAAACCAACAAACACCATCTTCCCTCCTCCATTGATCACGTTTTTGTGTCTTTCCTTACATTTTTGGGTTTCCTCATTCACTTACATTCGTCTAGTTTTTTTTTTGTTTATGCTGGAGATTGTTAATTGAATGTAAATGGTAGATTAGTCGAAGGAATTGGATTCGTGTTGTGGGGTTCCTCAGGTTTAGTAGATCTGAGGGTTGCATTTTGAATACTTTTTACCTTCTTTGTTTTTTTTTCTGTATAATAAACATAATCACGTTTAGAAATGAGCGCATCAAGGTTCATAAAGTGCGTCACCGTTGGTGATGGAGCTGTCGGCAAAACATGTTTGCTCATTTCTTACACCAGCAACACCTTTCCCACGGTAATTTATTTTACATTTTTATTGCAATGCGATGAGATTTGAATTCAAAACCTTTCAGCTCGATTATCTTTTTTTTTTTTGTTGGCATTGGGAACAGGACTATGTGCCCACTGTTTTCGATAACTTTAGTGCTAATGTGGTTGTTAACGGGGCAACCATCAATCTTGGATTGTGGGATACTGCAGGTATAATTAATTGAATAAATGAATGATGACACACATGTCTCATCATCATCATCATCCAGCTCCTTTTCCTAGTTTTGCAGCTAATGACTTTACTATTGTCTAATCTTTTGTTTTACAGGGCAGGAGGATTATAACAGATTAAGACCTTTGAGTTACCGCGGTGCTGATGTTTTTATTCTAGCCTTCTCTCTTATTAGTAAGGCTAGTTACGAGAATGTCTCCAAAAAGTGGATCCCTGAGTTGAAGCACTATGCTCCTGGTGTCCCCATCGTCCTTGTTGGTACCAAACTAGGTAATCTTACTCTTCCTGCATCTCTTGCTTTTATGCATTTTTGTATATGTCTAATTTCCATTGCCGAGACAATCAGCACCCACACTTTTAGCTATCGTCTCGCGACTTTCGTTAGCTGCTCTGATTTATTTGAGGCATAAGTGGATGTGACTTCACATTTTCTTGGTTCTTGTTCAAATTTTGACAAATGTTCAAGATGTATCGTTTAAGTGAAAAGGAGGCTAGTTTTCATAGCATATCATTAGTCAACAGGTTTTTCTTCTGAACCATATGCTATAATCTTCTTGTGATGACCTCTTAAACCTTTTAGTTACCTACATTTTGAGAGGCAACCATTTACGCCTTTAAATATTCCCAAATCAAATAGCTAACCTATAGCAAGTACTATCTCCAGAAAAGGCAATAGCCAATAGCCAATAACATCGAGTGAAGGCTTGGTTGTAACTTGTGCTGTTTCGATGATTTAACCTTGTTTTCTGTCAGATCTTCGGGATGACAAACAGTTTGTCATCGACCATCCTGGTGCCGTCCCTATTACAACTGCTCAGGTATAAATATTCTTTTATATACTCAGGTGCAGTTTTACCAAAACCCGTTAATCATTTTGCCTGGCTCTGTATTAAAGGGAGAGGAGCTCAAGAAGCTAATTGAAGCGCCTGCTTACATCGAGTGCAGTTCAAAATCCCAAGAGGTAAAACAACACAAATCCTAACCATTTTTTCAGTATGCTGGCTTCCACTTTTTCTGATGAAAACCATGTGGATATAAACTGCAGAACGTGAAGGGGGTCTTTGATGCTGCGATCAGAGTGGTTCTTCAACCTCCAAAGCAGAAGAAAAAGAAGAACAAAGCACAAAAGGCCTGTTCCATTTTGTAATAGCTTTCATGGAGACCAAGAAGCTCGGTGACAGGGTCGTTAAGAAAGTATTTGCGTTTTCATTCTTTTTTGTTTTCTTTTCAGTGTTCATTGTGATTTCTGTCTCTTTAGTTCCTCTAAAAAGCGAATTGTGTTGAGTTTATTTCAACTTCTGTTTCAGTTGATAATCGAGAATTGGTGTAGTAGTCACTCTTCCACTCTAAATGATATGTTCAACGTGATGATGTATATGTAATCACATGTTCAAAGAGTACCAGTAAGAGAGATTGGGGCGTAGTACTAATCTTACTATATTAATCAACCGTAAAGTATAACAAACAGTGTTCTTATTCAGCCTTAAGACTTTGTAAGGCTAAACCAGGAAAAATTGTTTGGTCCGAACTCCAGCACATGGATATCTCTTGACCAGGTCCCTTGTTAAAAACTCTTCTTCCTGCTCTTATCAGAAAGGGACGGTGTAGGGTAAGGCGTGGACATCAGCTTCTGGTAAAAGGCGAGCACATGGCCACGCCATTGAACTGCTTATGACTTGCTTCGTCTCATTATTTCTGTTAAGTTGTCTGCATCTTTCTGTGTCAAACTTGTGGCTACTTGGCTTCTTCATGAACCACCAACATTCATCATCTTCAGAGTTAGTGAGCTCTATTTTGTTAGGGACCCAATTCTCAACTACATTCAAGAATTGCACCGCCAATGATGGAGGGCAATACCTACATAAGCCGCTTGAAGGGTTAGAAGATTCTTGAGTAGTGGACGACAGTTTCTTCTCTTTAGCGAGATTCCTTGTGAAAATGTGGTCTTTTCTTTTCTCTTCTGGTGGCTTTGAAACATGTCCTGGTGCAGAAGTAGAACAAGGATGTTGTTGCGGCTTTAAAGCGTGTTCTGGTGCTGAAGTGGAACAAGGAGGTTGTTGAGGCTGCTCTCTAGTAACACTCTTCAAGGTTTCTATCTTTATCTCCCGGGAGGGACAAGGTTTTTGTTGATCCTTTTTAGTCACCTCAGGATCATTCTGCCTTCGGATAGGCAACCGAATCCGGATGATGCTTACTTCAAATTCATATGATAACATATTTGAAGAAAGAACGTCAACAATATCCTGAAAAGGTAAAAAGACCCAACAAGAACACAAACAAACTCACCAGAGTCGTTGTTGTTGTTATGTGGCTGCTGCTTCTTCTCCTTCTGTTGCTTAGGTAGAAGCTCATTGCTGTTAAGAGTGCTATCACAAGAGTTCGGAGACGTCGAGTGAAGCAATTCACGTTCTACAGTAAGACTGCTCTTCTCCAAACAGCCATTGTCACTTTCTTTTAGTTTGTGAAAAACATTGTTCTTGCCATCTTTAGCAACTTCTTCTTTGCGCCTTCTCTTATGAGAGTGTTTTTCACTTTCACCTTCCCCTCTTTCCTTCTCCTTCCTCTTCTTATCCTTCTTCTCCTTGTTATCACTCTTCTCCTTCTTATCCTTCTTTTCTCTTTTTCTTTCCTTCCTCTGTTCTTTCTTAGCTTTCTCCTCTGCCTTCTGAATGAACAAAAACAAAAGTCAATAATCAGCTCACAATACTTGCCAAAATTCAACAAAAAGCAGAAACAAGCCCTCATACAGAGCAACCCATAAACCCCCAATTATGCAAACGATTAGTGGACATTATTCAAGGGACTTTGTGACAGTTAGCATTGTACTTTGGAATATGTATTTATCATTATCTCAAACCAACCCGTTAGTGACATTGTGTCATCGTTTTCACTAGAATCAATCGCAAAAATGGCATCTTTTTCATTCATGGCGGCAAATTTGCAACAACCCCTAGAACACAGATACCAGATAACTGGTAATCAAGTTCGATAAACCGAAACACAAGGAAGCTGAGCATTCGAAATCCCCCAAAAAGCCAAATAAAACCCACACGAGATTAAATGCTCAAACAAACCTTGATCGAATCGATCAGAGCCTCATCGCGGCTTCCGTTCAATACATAGCCAGGCGGCGGGAACGGGAAACACCGAGACATCTTTTCGATTAGTGACAAAAATTCAAACTATATTGGATGCGGAGAAGATGTAAATCAAATCTCGCGGAAACCCTAAATCGACCACGAGAGGATCTCGAGTGGAGGGGTAAAGTAAGATATTGGGGCTTCTAATAGCGCGCGAAAATCATATCTAAGAGTTAGCAACGGATTGGTTTTGTTTGATCGGAGAAGAAAGAAGAGTCGCGAGATCTCGAATCTCTTCGGAAACTCTCCGATGAAAAAAAAGTGTCGCCTCTCAACGCATAGAAGCTGTATTTATAGCCAAAGAAGAAAAGGAGGGGTCCTACATGGGCCAAAAGCCTTGTCTGGCAACGCGGATGGTCAAAGAGCGTCGTGTGATTGGTTTATAGACTTTTCTTCTCCTTTATATAATTACACGCATTCGTGACGGCTGTTTCGCAAAATTAGTTTTAGGCCCTTTAGGGTATATGTGTAGGCCCAAATATATCAGAGGCCTTTTAAGAAAATAAATTAGCTTCCTATGGAGATGTTTACTGAAGTAGCTAAAGATGTTTACGGAACTGGTACAGCATGTTCTTCTTGAATATCCTAATTACAAAAAAAAAAGCGTAGACTATATTGTGTTTATAGATTTTATCATACTTTTTCCTCGGCCCGTTAGAATAATTAATCAACTAGTCAGCCCATTATATGATGATGAAATATGTTTTCTGTTAAAACATAACGAAAATAAATATTGATATAGGTTCATTCAACAAATCACGGGCTATGATTACTTGCAAGTTACAAACTCTTGGTTCACGGGCTCTTAAAGCTACCATGTTAGAGCATGATTATCCCTAAACCCTTTATAGGGTCTCTTAATTATTTTTTAATAGTTTTTGAAGTGTAAAAGTGAATTAAGAGACTTAGAAAGAAATTTGAACTTTTAGGTGTTTTATTGCAAGTTTCTTAATTATGGGTTCTTAAAAAAAAATTGTATGAGTAAACTTTTTCTTTTCAACTCATATGCAGCAAACAT